ATTGTTTCTTTCTTTCCAACCTGGTAACTTTGGTTTTCCAAAAATCTATTTTAAATCAGACAATTTAAGTTAACTGAACAAACTTTTGTTCTGGGACATGGGGGGGCGTCTGCACCGTCTGTCTGTCGGCCTCCCAGCAGGATCGTTTAGATTTACACGCTGTTAAAACCAGAACGTTGTCTCTCTGTCCTCGGTGCAGAGTTTGATCTGGACTATAAGCAGGTCGTCTGAGTGTTTTCAGGGTGATTTCGTTCCCTTCTAGTTTGCTCTCATGGTTTTTGTAGTAAGGTGAATTATTACACGCCGTCACACCCTGCTCACGATGGAAAGGAGCTCTTTAACCAGCTCTGCTACATTTACAGCCAAGTATAAATAAATAATCTGTTTCACTGAAAGACTTTCATTTCTTTGACTCTGTTTTCCAAACAGAGTCAAACAGCCACAGATCCAGTCAACTGTTTTTAACTGAAATGAAATTCCCTCTAACAGGTTAAAAACGCCCTGTGCAGCTGCGGAAAATGATGTAAAGTAAGAATGTTTTCAATTAAAAACAGAGTGTCAGTCAGACGCCGGCCTGGTTTTTCTAGAAGATCTCTGGATGTATAAATCCTGCTGAGGCCTGATACCAATACACAAACGTTTGAACTGTGGAGAACAATCGTTTAGTCTATCTTACGCACCAAAGTTTAATTCATTCATTCTGTCCCAGATAAAAGGCTATTCATTTCAATTTTACGGTGGATTATATTGATTAACAGAAAGAAGGCAAAGCGAGTGAACAGAAGAGAGCAGCAGTCACAGGTTAGTTCCACCAAACAGGCGCTAATGATCCCAGAAATATCGATTATTTTGAAAGCATGCTAACGTTACAGCTTTGAAAGAAAACACTTCCTGTCTGTAGGTGTGATGGTGATTATCGTTATGGCGTCGTTCTGTGATCGTGTTGTGAATGTAAGAGTAGAGACAGCAGGAAGTCTGACCTCTGCAGCGACACGATGGCGGCCTGCTCGTTCTCGTTCTCAGCCTGAGTCATTCCTAACAGCTGCCAGGCCTGAAACACACCAAGAAGAGTTCGTCAGCTCCTCGCCGCGAACTCGGACGCCTGTGGACGTACAATCTGCCTCCCAGGGTGCACTTCACTAACAACCTGCCAATCACAGGGCTTCACCAAAGAAGCTGAGGGTCAGAAAAATAGAATAAACTCTAATAATCCAGGAGAAGGTGCAGCTCCTCCCACAGTGACATCACTTCCTGTCCAGCCCCTGTCCCACACAGTGTGTGGACACATCAGCTGGTGTTCAGGTCTCACCTCAGAGTCCTGCGGGTCCTGCAGGATGGCGGCCTCCAGCAGCAGCACGGCAGCGTTCAGGTCTCCCTCCCGAGCCTTCTCCTGACCCTCGGCGAAGGCGTTGGGCCAGTCCTGGTACGGGTTGTTGGTGTTGAAGTAGTAACCCTGCACGGGACAGACACCAGACCACGTTACCATTACTTCAGGGTCCACGGGGACTTCCTCCATCTGTGGGACCTGAACTATGAATCAATCCTCAGCTACTCACGGCCAGCCTCCAGCTGCCATCGGTCACTGTGACCTTTGACCTGTGATGTCTCTAGATCAATGAAAAGGTCAGCTGCTCCCTGAACCTCGGGCCCTCGGGGTCCCCACTGCTTCAGTTTATTACAACGTGACGACATCTGAAGAGCTGATCGGATCAAAACTTTGGTTTTTGAGCTTAAAGCAATTACTGATTATTATAAAAGTGTTTGTTTCTCCGCCGCCAAGCGGGGCATCTGTTGAGGAGGCCTCAGGGACGACCCAGGACAGGTGCAGAGATTATATCTCCACCATGGCCTGGGAACGCCTCGGGTCCCCCAGACCGAGCTGGGGTCCCCCGCTGGAGCTGCTGCACCCCCGCCCGACCCCGGGTAAGTGGTCGTAGATGCGACCACAGTCTCCCGGCTCAGAGACAATGTCCCTGAGCCGAGAAGAAGTGATCCTCTTTGGTACCAACAGGCCGAGTCAGCGTTCTTCACCTCAGTCAGTAAAAGCACAGGTCACGTGACCACGAACCGCAGAGCCCAGCAGAGACCCGTTTGTTGGACAGAGACGAGGCGGTGGCAGGAAGTGACGGACAGAAAACCACTTCCTGTATGATGAATTATTGATGTTCATTCAGCAGAAACCAGATCAAACCAGATCAGATCCCTCCGGGTCTTTCGCATCACTAAAAAGAACCAGTTCAGAACGGGGTTAGAATTTAATATTTAAAGCTGAATGTGTTTTTATTTTTAGTAAAAGTAACATGTCCTGACAGAATATGTTATTGATCAACATCTGAACCAATCAGCTGTTAGATCAGGAGAGACACACGTTTCCCATCATGCACTGGGATGTCAGAGCGAGTTTGTCTTCAATCTTTCAACAACAGGACTGGAAGTCAAACACTAAATGTTCAACAAAACAAGCAGAGAAGAATTAAAGCAGGAAAAACCATCCGTGATGTTTGTTAACGTGTCGACATCAGAGCGGCTTCACCTCCGTCACCACGGTGATGTAACACCTGGGCGAGGGATTACTGCAGATTACCGCTGCTTCACATCAGCTCAGAGCTGATCTCAGGTCAGAGGATTAAAGCTACAGATTAACATCCATCGCAGATATAATCTGTCGTTATTAATAACTGACTGGGAAAAAGGGCTTCTGCAAGGGAGAAATGCATGTTGGGAAAATAAATACATTGGTTTGCACGGCAGCGAACTCTGCTGACCAGGTAACATCAGCACCAGCTCAGCTAGCTGCTCGCTCACTGAGCTCCCTGTCACTGAACCTGGGGACGAGCTCTGCAGGTTTGGTTCTGGAGGGTCGGCGTGGTGTCAACTTTTCCACAGCAGGTCAGAACTTTGCCTTTGAAGCAGGAATAAAACTAAAGCCTCTGTCTCGGGTCTAGGCTCCTGCAGAACTTAAATCTCCACCATCGCTGGGACACTCGACTACCCCAAGACAAGAACGCAGGATGAGTGAGGCCTCATGTTTAAAGGGAGCAGGTTCTGGACCTACCTTCTCTGCAGGTGAGACGGTGGGCGGGATCGGCCCCTGGTCCTCAGACTCCTCCAACCAGTTCCTGCGGGCAAGCTCCTCCCACTCCGCCTGCATCTTGTCCCAGAACTCCGTGTCCGACTGAAACACAACCACACGCTCGTTCAGACCTCCAGCGAGTCAGATTATCAAGTAAAAACACTGGATCCTACATTTCCCATAATGCACCTGGAGGGTGTCTCCTCACAGCCTCCCCGCCTGTAAAAGAGAACAAATGCTGAAGCTTCATCAGGTTTCTTTTAACGTCACCTTTAACTCAGCAACAGGCTCTGTGATTGGTTGTTTGTTGGTGAAATGCACCTTGGGAGTCGTAGTAGACTCCTCTGCTTCAGGCTCATGTCCACAGGCTTCTAGCTTTGACTCGTCATCACAGAAGCAGATATGCAGCTTGTATAACAGTGTAAAGTAGTGAGCGTGCAGCTTGTATAACAGCGTAAAGTAGTGAACGTACAGCTTGTATAACAGCGTAAAGTAGCGAGCGTGCAGCTTGTAGAACAGTGTAAAGTAGTGAGAGTGCAGCTTGTATAACAGTGTAAAGTAGTGAGCGTACAGCTTGTATAACAGCGTAAAGTAGCGAGCGTGCAGCTTGTATAACAGCGTAAAGTAGCGAGCGTGCAGCTTGTATAACAGTGTAAAGTAGCGAGCGTGCAGCTTGTATAACAGTGTAAAGTAGCGAGCGTGCAGCTTGTATAACAGTGTAAAGTAGTGAGCGTGCAGCTTGTATAACAGCGTAAAGTAGTTAGCGTACAGCTTGTATAACAGCGTAAAGTAGCGAGCGTGCAGCTTGTATAACAGCGTAAAGTAGCGAGCGTGCAGCTTGTATAACAGCGTAAAGTAGTGAGCGTGCAGCTTGTATAACAGCGTAAAGTAGTGAGCGTGCAGCTTGTTTAACAGCGTAAAGTAGTCAGCTTGTATAACAGCGTAAAGTAGTGAGCGTACAGCTTGTATAACAGTGTAAAGTAGTGAGCGTGCAGCTTGTATAACCGTGTAAAGTAGTGAGCGTGCAGCTTGTATAACAGTGTAAAGTAGTGCAGCTTGTATAACAGTGTAAAGTAGTGAGCGTGCAGCTTGTATAACAGTGTAAAGTAGTGAGCGTGCAGCTTGTATAACCGTGTAAAGTAGTGAGCGTGCAGCTTGTATAACAGTGTAAAGTAGTGCAGCTTGTATAACAGTGTAAAGTAGTGAGCGTGCAGCTTGTAGAACAGTGTAAAGTAGTGCAGCTTGTATAACAGTGTAAAGTAGTGAGCGTGCAGCTTGTATAACAGCGTAAAGTAGTTAGCGTACAGCTTGTATAACAGCGTAAAGTAGCGAGCGTGCAGCTTGTATAACAGCGTAAAGTAGCGAGCGTGCAGCTTGTATAACAGTGTAAAGTAGCGAGCGTGCAGCTTGTATAACAGCGTAAAGTAGTGAGCATGCAGCTTGTATAACAGTGTAAAGTAGTGAGCGTGCAGCTTGTTTAACAGCGTAAAGTAGTCAGCTTGTATAACAGCGTAAAGTAGTGAGCGTACAGCTTGTATAACAGTGTAAAGTAGTGAGCGTGCAGCTTGTATAACCGTGTAAAGTAGTGAGCGTGCAGCTTGTATAACAGTGTAAAGTAGTGCAGCTTGTATAACAGTGTAAAGTAGTGAGCGTGCAGCTTGTATAACAGCGTAAAGTAGTGAGCGTGCAGCTTGTATAACAGCGTAAAGTAGTGAGCGTGCAGCTTGTATAACAGCGTAAAGTAGCGAGCGTGCAGCTTGTATAACAGCGTAAAGTAGTGAGCGTGCAGCTTGTATAACAGTGTAAAGTAGTGCAGCTTGTATAACAGTGTAAAGTAGTGCAGCTTGTATAACAGCGTAAAGTAGTGAGCGTGCAGCTTGTATAACCGTGTAAAGTAGTGAGCGTGCAGCTTGTATAACAGTGTAAAGTAGTGCAGCTTGTATAACAGTGTAAAGTAGTGAGCGTGCAGCTTGTAGAACAGTGTAAAGTAGTGAGCGTGCAGCTTGTAGAACAGTGTAAAGTAGTGAGCGTGCAGCTTGTAGAACAGTGTAAAGTAGTGAGCGTGCAGCTTGTATAACAGCGTAAAGTAGTGAGCGTGCAGCTTGTATAACAGCGTAAAGTAGTGAGCGTACAGCTTGTATAACCGTGTAAAGTAGTGAGCGTGCAGCTTGTATAACAGTGTAAAGTAGTGCAGCTTGTATAACAGTGTAAAGTAGTGAGCGTGCAGCTTGTATAACAGCGTAAAGTAGTGAGCGTGCAGCTTGTATAACAGCGTAAAGTAGTGAGCGTGCAGCTTGTATAACAGCGTAAAGTAGCGAGCGTGCAGCTTGTATAACAGCGTAAAGTAGTGAGCGTGCAGCTTGTATAACAGTGTAAAGTAGTGCAGCTTGTATAACAGTGTAAAGTAGTGCAGCTTGTATAACAGCGTAAAGTAGTGAGCGTGCAGCTTGTATAACCGTGTAAAGTAGTGAGCGTGCAGCTTGTATAACAGTGTAAAGTAGTGCAGCTTGTATAACAGTGTAAAGTAGTGAGCGTGCAGCTTGTAGAACAGTGTAAAGTAGTGAGCGTGCAGCTTGTAGAACAGTGTAAAGTAGTGAGCGTGCAGCTTGTAGAACAGTGTAAAGTAGTGAGCGTGCAGCTTGTATAACAGCGTAAAGTAGTGAGCGTGCAGCTTGTATAACAGCGTAAAGTAGTGAGCGTACAGCTTGTATAACAGCGTAAAGTAGTGAGCGTGCAGCTTGTATAACAGCGTAAAGTAGTGAGCGTGCAGCTTGTATAACAGCGTAAAGTAGCGAGCGTGCAGCTTGTATAACAGCGTAAAGTAGTGAGCGTGCAGCTTGTAGAACAGTGTAAAGTAGCGAGCGTGCAGCTTGTACAGTGTAAAGTAGTGAGCGTACAGCTTGTATAACAGCGTAAAGTAGTGAGCGTACAGCTTGTATAACAGCGTAAAGTAGTGAGCGTGCAGCTTGTATAACAGCGTAAAGTAGTGAGCGTGCAGCTTGTATAACAGCGTAAAGTAGTGAGCGTACAGCTTGTATAACAGCGTAAAGTAGTGAGCGTGCAGCTTGTAGAACAGCGTAAAGTAGTGAGCGTGCAGCTTGTAGAACAGTGTAAAGTAGCGAGCGTGCAGCTTGTACAGTGTAAAGTAGTGAACGTGCAGCTTGTATAACAGCGTAAAGTAGTGAGCGTACAGCTTGTATAACAGCGTAAAGTAGTGAGCGTGCAGCTTGTATAACAGCGTAAAGTAGCGAGCGTGCAGCTTGTATAACAGTGTAAAGTAGCGAGCGTGCAGCTTGTATAACAGCGTAAAGTAGCGAGCGTGCAGCTTGTAGAACAGTGTAAAGTAGTGCAGCTTGTATAACAGTGTAAAGTAGTGAGCGTGCAGCTTGTAGAACAGCGTAAAGTAGCGAGCGTGCAGCTTGTAGAACAGTGTAAAGTAGTGCAGCTTGTATAACAGTGTAAAGTAGCGAGCGTGCAGCTTGTATAACAGCGTAAAGTAGTGAGCGTGCAGCTTGTAGAACAGTGTAAAGTAGCGAGCGTGCAGCTTGTACAGTGTAAAGTAGTGAACGTGCAGCTTGTATAACAGCGTAAAGTAGTGAGCGTACAGCTTGTATAACAGCGTAAAGTAGTGAGCGTGCAGCTTGTATAACAGCGTAAAGTAGCGAGCGTGCAGCTTGTATAACAGTGTAAAGTAGCGAGCGTGCAGCTTGTATAACAGCGTAAAGTAGCGAGCGTGCAGCTTGTAGAACAGTGTAAAGTAGTGCAGCTTGTATAACAGTGTAAAGTAGTGAGCGTGCAGCTTGTAGAACAGCGTAAAGTAGCGAGCGTGCAGCTTGTATAACAGTGTAAAGTAGCGAGCGTGCAGCTTGTATAACAGCGTAAAGTAGCGAGCGTGCAGCTTGTATAACAGCGTAAAGTAGCGAGCGTGCAGCTTGTATAACAGCGTAAAGTAGTGAGCGTACAGCTTGTATAACAGTGTAAAGTAACACTGGCAACAAAAGTGAGGACACCCCTAAAGAGCCATTATTTTCCAGCGCTGCCTTATCCCTCGTGGGCCTGGAGTTCACCAGAGCTTCACAGGTTGGCTCTGGAGTCCTGTTCCAGTCCTCCATGCCAACATCACGGAGCTGGTGGATGTTAGAGACCTTGCGCTCCTCCACCTTCCGTTTGAGGAGCCCCACAGATGCTCAGTAGGGTTCAGGTCTGGAGACATGCTCAGCCAGTCCATCACCTTTACCCTCAGCTTCTTTAGCGAGGCAGCGGTCGTCATCATGTTGGAATGCTGCCCTGCGGCCCAGTCTCTGAAGGGAGGGGATCCTGCTCTGCTTCAGTATGTCATAGTACATGTTGGCATTCATGGTTCCCTCAGTGAGCTGTAGCTCCCCAGTGCCAGCAGCCCTTATGCAACCCCAGACCAGGACACTCCTACCATCATGCTGGACTGTGGGCAGGAACACCAAACACCAAACTTAACACACCTGCTCCCCATTCACACCTGAGACCTTGTAACACTAACGAGTCACATGACACCGGGGAGGGAAAATGTTTAATTGGGCCCAATGTGGACCTTTTCACTGAGTCCTCACTGTTGTTGCCAGCGGTTTAGACATTAACGGCTGTGTGACGTGTTATTTTGAGGGGACAGCAGATTTACACTGTTATACAAGCTGTACACACGCTACTTTACATTGGATCAGAGATGGGACTCGGGTTAGAGACTCGGGTTAGAGACTCGGACTCGAGTGCGATTTAAGTTGCACACACAGTGACTTCAGACTCTGACTCAAGGTGCGGGACTCGTGAACTCGTTTATTTTTAGTAAGCGTCTGATGAGCTTGCTGTTTTTATTCCCCTCCCTGTGTTACCCATAACCTGCCTACATAACACGTAGTTTCAGCTGCACGGCCGCACGTGAGAGGACAACAAACAGCTGCTTTAAAACTTCATACGGCAAGACCCAAACAAAGAAGCGCTGAACGCAAAATAGGTTAGTAACCTGAGGTTAGTGAACAGGTTTAGCTCAGCTTGTGCTCTGTAAGTTAAAAACAGGTTACAGTTACAGTGTACCTTATAGTTATGCAGTTTTATAAGAAACCTGGACTGAACGCAGCAGGTGATAGAACATTTGTAATAACCACGAGAGACTTGAGACTTGATTTGGACTCTAGCTCAAAGACTTGTGAACATCTTTGCATTGTAGCAAAGTGTCATTTCTTCAGTGTTGTCACATTAACAGATAATATTTACAAAAATGTGAACTCACTTTTGTGAGAAACTGAATATACATATAACAACCTTGTCAGATAGCCACAGCTAGCTTTTAGCTAAAGCTATCTTAAATGCATTTTATTCCGTAAATGTCTGTGAATGGAAAAATATTAATTTTAATGAATCAACATTTTGATAATTCTCACAAAAACGTGGCAGCAGCTAAATCCCTGCCCTGCTAGTTTAGCATAGCATCCGCAACCACCTGACCTTCTGACCCAGGAATCCAAGCAACTTGGTGCCATTTTAAAATAATATTCATTTTATCAATGTTAGGCGTTTTTATTCCTGAGGTATCTTTTTCTCTTCTTGTCTCATCAGGTTGTTTTTATGGTAAAATAGTGTAAATAGGCTTAAAGTCATTACATCCTGTTACCCAGCGAGCTGGTGTTGGTCCCCTCAGGTTTCAGAGCATCAGTAACATTTTGTACATGAAGGTCTGAAAATCTGATTTTCAACTTTCATCAAATCCATGAATTTAATTTTCATTTATAACAACAAAAAAATCATCATTATCGTCACCTGTAACATCTAATACTGTTATATATGTTAACATTATAAAATAACTTTCCCTAGAGTGTTTCTGGTTTAAGGAACACTGAGGTTCACAAAACAAAGAGCTTATATGTGAACACTTTCTCTCATATGTAAAACAGTCTGTTGACCTCTGTGTCTCTGTGGATTAAAACACCTGCAGCTAAATTCAGGAGCTGTCAGCTGTGATGAAGAAGAGCTTTTAATCAGCGGCTCGTCAATCAGGCGGGACGCTGTGATTGGTTCAGTGAGCCGAGCTGATGGGACTGAAGAGCAGAACACCGCAAACTCGTTGACGCGAGAGGCTCAAATCAAATATCTGACAGAGAAAATCCGCACTTTAATCACTGAGCTGCTGGTTCACTTCACCTCCTCCAGACTGAATCAAACATTATATAAAGCACCATCATCCACCAACCTGAAACATCCTCTGATCCGTCCTGACCTGTCCTAAACCAACCTGAACCGTCCTGAAACAACCCTAACCATCTTGCTAACCAACCCTAACCATCCTGAGACAACCTGAACCATCCTGAGACAACCTGAACCGTCCTGAACAGTCCTGAACCATCCTGAGACAACGTGAACCATCCTGAGACAACCTGAACTATCCTGAGACAACCTGAACAGTCCTAAAACAACCTGAACCGTCCTGAAACAACCTGAACCATTTTGAACCGTTCTGAACCATCCTGAACCGTCCTGAAACAACCTGAACCATCCTGAACCATCCTGAGACAACCTGAACCGTCCTGAAACAACCCTAACCATCCTGAAACAACGTGAACCATCCTGAGACAACCTGAACCATCCTGAGACAACCTGAACCGTCCTGAGACAACCTGAACCATCCTGAACCGTCCTGAACCATCCTGAACCGTCCTGAACCATCCTGAGACAACCTGAACCATCCTGAAACAACCTGAACCATCCTGAGACAACCTGAACAGTCCTAAAACAACCTGAACCGTCCTGAAACAACCTGAACCATTTTGAACCGTTCTGAACCATCCTGAACCGTCCTGAAACAACCTGAACCGTCCTGAACCATCCTGAGACAACCTGAACCGTCCTGAACCATCCTGAGACAACCAGAACCATCCTGAGACAACCTGAACCGTCCTGAAACAACCTGAACAGTCCTGAGACAACCTGAACCATCCTGAAACAACCTGAAACAACATGAAACAACCTGAACCATCCTGAACCATCCTGAAATAACCTGAACCGTCCTGAACCATCCTGAGACAACCAGAACCGTCCTGAACCGTACAGAACAGTCCCGAAACAACCTGAACCGTCCTGAACCATCCTGAGACAACCTGAACCGTCCTGAACCATCCTGAGACAACCAGAACCATCCTGAGACAACCTGAACCGTCCTGAAACAACCTGAACAGTCCTGAGACAACCTGAACCATCCTGAAACAACCTGAAACAACCTGAACCATCCTGAACCATCCTGAAACAACCTGAACCGTCCTGAACCATCCTGAGACAACCTGAACCGTCCTGAACCGTACAGAACAGTCCCGAAACAACCTGAACCGTCCTGAAACAACCTGAACAATTTTGAGCCATCCTGAACCGTCCTGAAACAACCACTTTGAACAGTTTTGAACCATCCTGAACAGTCTTGAGACAACCTGAACCATCTTGAGAAATCCTGAACCGTTCTGAACAGTCTTGAGATTACCTAACCCATCCTGAACTGTTCTGAAACAACCTGAATTGTTCTGAACTGTCCTGAAATAACCTGAATGATCCTGAACCATTCTGAACAGTCCTAAAACAACCTGGACCGTCCTGAAACAACCTGAACCATCCTGAACAGTCTTGAGACAACCTGAACCATCCTGAACCATCCTGAGACAACCTGAACAGTCCTAAAACCTGAACCGTCCTGAAACAACCACTTTGAACAGTCCTGAACCATCCTGAATAGTCTTGAGACAACCTGAACCATCTTGAGACAACCTGAACCGTCCTGAACAGTCTTAAGATAACCTGTCCCATCCTGAAATGTTCTGAAACAACCTGAACTGTCATGAACAGTCTTGAAATAACCTGTACCATCCTGAACAGTCCTGAGACAACCTGAACAGTCCTGAGACAACCTGAAACAACCTGAACCATCCTGAAACAACCTGAACCATCCTGAGACAACCTGAACAGTCCTAAAACAACCTGAACCGTCCTGAAACAACCTGAACCATTTTGAACCGTTCTGAACCATCCTGAACCGTCCTGAAACAACCTGAACCGTCCTGAACCATCCTGAGACAACCTGAACCGTCCTGAACCATCCTGAGACAACCAGAACCATCCTGAGACAACCTGAACCGTCCTGAAACAACCTGAACAGTCCTGAGACAACCTGAACCATCCTGAAACAACCTGAAACAACATGAAACGACCTGAACCATCCTGAACCATCCTGAACAGTCTTGAGACAACCTGTACCAACCTGAACCATCCTGAAACAACCTGAACCGTCCTGAGACAACCAGAACCATCCTGAAACAACCTGAAACAACATGAAACAACCTGAACCATCCTGAACCATCCTGAACCATCCTGAACCATCCTGAACAGTCTTGAGACAACCTGTACCAACCTGAACCATCCTGAAACAACCTGAACCGTCCTGAGACAACCAGAACCATCCTGAACCATCCCGAACCGTACAGAACAGTCCCGAAACAACCTGAACCGTCCTGAACCGTCCTGAAACAACCTGAACAATTTTGAACCATCCTGAACAGTCCTGAAACAACCACTTTGAACCGTCCTGAACAGTCTTGAGATAACCTGTCCCATCCTGAAATGTTCTGAAACAACCTGAATTTTTCTGAACTGTCCTGAAACCACCTGAACCATCCTGACACAACCTGAACCATCCTGAGACAACCTGAACCGTCCTGAACCATCCTGCGACAACCTGAACCATCCTGCGACAACCTGAACCGTGCTGAAACTACCTGAACAATTTTGAACCATCCTGAACAGTCCTGAAACAACCTGAACCGTCCTGAACCATCCTGAGACAACCAGAACCGTCCTGAACCATCCTGAAACAACCTGAACCGTCCTGAACCATCCTGAGACAACCAGAACCGTCCTGAACCATCCTGAGACAACCTGAACCATCCTGAACCATCCTGAGACAACCAGAACCATCCTGAGACAACCTGAACCATCCTGAACCATCCTGAGACAACCAGAACCATCCTGAGACAACCTGAACCATCCTGAGACAACCTGAACCATCCTGAACTGTTCTGAAACAACCTGAACCATCCTGAGACAACCTGAACCATCCTGAACTGTTCTGAAACAACCTGAATTGTTCTGAAGTGTCCTGAAATAACCTGTATGATCCCGAACCATTGTGAACCATCCTGAACAATCTTGAAATAACCTGAACCGTCCTGAACCATCCTGAACTGTCCTGAAACAAGTCCTGAATCCAAATGTAGTTTTTTCAGTTTTTATCTTAAAATGGCAATTTACATAGTTCTCATGTGATGCACTGCAGTGCGGATTTGTTAGTAATTTAATATCCGTAAAATCAAGATTTAATGAGCAACTCTCATCATCAGCAAAACCCCAGTCCTCTTCATCCTCACCTTCATCAGTGGTGTTTGTGGATCAAGAATAGAAGGGATTATATAAGTGAGGTAGCAGTTGTGTCTGTGTGGGAAAGACGTCTTCTGGGAATAAACAGAACCGTCACTACTTCACACCCAGACGCACTCAGAGGCGACAAACTCTCACCCCTGAACATGAATATATCATTTAACCAGTTTTAAACGCTGTAAACTGCATCGCCAGAGCTTCATCTTCTACACGCATCATCACAATAAAAACACAAAAAACTAAACAACCGTCAGCTGAGGACGAGCAGCTCGGTCTTATTCTCAGAGCAGATATGAAAACTGATCCTGAGTCTGCTGGTTCGTCCTGATCTGAATGTTTGCTGAATCACAGAGTTCTGACAGGAAGTACAGGGCGGATCTCTGGTCAGCAACACATATCTGTTCCTGAAGATCAGCTAATACCTGAAATCCAACACGTCAAACTGCCCCGAGCTGAAGGTTTCATTACCGTCATCTAACCACATGAGGACACGTGGACCCGAGGACGGCGTCGGAGAGACTGGACATTTATTTATGGACATCTGGAAAGAGGACATTTTGTCATTATGTTTGTTTATACCTCAACAGCAGCCTTCGCTCTGACAAACTCGTCCTCCAGAGACTCTTTTCTGGCCAGCAGGGAACGAGTCCGCCGCCGCTGTCTGGACGCCGCGCAGTCCTGAGAACACACGGAGAGAAAGGTCAGCCAGCAGCCGTCAGTCGGACCGTAAAGACAAACTAACACACTCACAAAGTCAAAGTCCTGAACTGACCACCAGCCCCCAGAATCTGCAGGGAACGCTGCATCATCCCAGGCTCCCTGAACTACACACAGTGTTCAGCTCGGGTTCTGTTTCCGTCTTATTTTACAGGAAGAACAGGAGTACTACAGTATAAATACTGTCAGTATAAATACTGTCAGTATAAAGTACTACAGTACAGATACAGTCAGTATAAAGTACTACAGTATAAATACTGTCAGTATAAATACTGTCAGTATAAAGTACTACAGTACAGATACAGTCAGTATAAAGTACTACAGTATAAATACTGTCAGTATAAAGTACTGCAGTACAGATACAGTCAGTATAAAGTACTACAGTATAAATACTGTCAGTATAAATACTGTCAGTATAAAGTACTACACTACAGATGCAGTCAGTATAAAGTACTACAGTATAAATACTGTCAGTATAAAGTACTACAGTATAAATACTGTCAGTATAAATACTGTCAGTATAAAGTACTACAGTATAAATACTGTCAGTATAAAGTACTGCAGTACAGATACAGTCAGTATAAAGTACTACAGTATAAATACTGTCAGTATAAAGTACTACAGTATAAATACTGTCAGTATAAATACTGTCAGTATAAAGTACTACAGTACAGATACAGTCAGTATAAAGTACTACAGTATAAATACTGTCAGTATAAAGTACTGCAGTATAAATACTGTCAGTATAAAGTACTGCAGTACAGATACAGTCAGTATAAAGTACTACAGTATAAATACTGTCAGTATAAAGTACTACAGTATAAATACTGTCAGTATAAATACTGTCAGTATAAAGTACTACAGTACAGATACAGTCAGTATAAAGTACTACAGTATAAATACTGTCAGTATAAAGTACTACAGTATAAATACTGTCAGTATAAAGTACTACACTACAGATACAGTCAGTATAAAGTACTACAGTATAAATACTGTCAGTATAAAGTACTACAGTATAAATACTGTCAGTATAAATACTGTCAGTATAAAGTACTACAGTACAGATACAGTCAGTATAAAGTACTACAGTATAAATCCTGTCAGTATAAATACTGTCAGTATAAAGTACTACAGTACAGATACAGTCAGTATAAAGTACTACAGTACAGATACAGTCAGTATAAATACTGTCAGTATAAATACTGTCAGTATAAATACTGTCAGTATAAAGTACTACAGTACAGATACAGTCAGTATAAAGTACTACAGTATAAATACTGTCAGTATAAATACTGTCAGTATAAAGTACTGCAGTATAAATACTGTCAGTATAAATACTGTCAGTATAAAGTACTACAGTACAGATACAGTCAGTATAAAGTACTACAGTATAAATACTGTCAGTATAAATACTGTCAGTATAAAGTACTACAGTACAGATACAATCAGTATAAAGTACTCCAGTATAAATACTGTCAGTATAAAGTACTACAGTACAGATACAGTCAGTATAAAGTACTACAGTATAAATACTGTCAGTATAAAGTACTACAGTATAAATACTGTCAGTATAAAGTACTACAGTACAGATACAGTCAGTATAAATACTGTCAGTATAAAGTACTACAGTACAGATACAGTCAGTATAAATACTGTCAGTATAAAGTACTACAGTATAAATACTGTCAGTATAAAGTACTACAGTATAAATACTGTCAGTATAAATACAGTCAGTATAAAGTACTACAGTACAGATACAGTCAGTATAAAGTACTACAGTATAAATACTGTCAGTATAAAGTACTACAGTACAGATACTGTCAGTATAAAGTACTACAGTATAAATACTGTCAGTATAAAGTACTACAGTACAGATACAGTCAGTATAAAGTACTACAGTACAGATACAGTCAGTATACAGTACTACAGTATAAATACTGTCAGTATAAAGTACTACAGTATAAATACTGTCAGTATAAATACTGTCAGTATAAAGTACTACAGTACAGATACAGTCAGTATAAAGTACTACAGTATAAATACTGTCAGTATAAATACTGTCAGTATAAAGTACTACAGTATAAATACTGTCAGTATAAAGTACTGCAGTACAGATACAGTCAGTATAAAGTACTACAGTATAAATACTGTCAGTATAAATACTGTCAGTATAAATACTGTCAGTATAAAGTACTGCAGTACAGATACAGTCAGTATAAAGTACTACAGTAAATACTGTCAGTATAAATACTGTCAGTATAAAGTACTGCAGTACAGATACAGTCAGTATAAAGTACTACAGTATAAATACTGTCAGTATAAAGTACTACAGTATAAATACTGTCAGTATAAATACTGTCAGTATAAAGTACTACAGTACAGATACAGTCAGTATAAAGTACTACAGTATAAATACTGTCAGTATAAAGTACTGCAGTATAAATACTGTCAGTATAAAGTACTGCAGTACAGATACAGTCAGTATAAAGTACTACAGTATAAATACTGTCAGTATAAAGTACTACAGTATAAATCCTGTCAGATAAATACTGTCAGTATAAAGTACTACAGTACAGATACAGTCAGTATAAAGTACTACAGTATAAATCCTGTCAGTATAAATACTGTCAGTATAAAGTACTACAGTACAGATACAGTCAGTATAAAGTACTACAGTACAGATACAGTCAGTATAAAGTACTACAGTATAAATACTGTCAGTATAAAGTACTACAGTATAAATACTGTCAGTATAAATACTGTCAGTATAAAGTACTACAGTACAGATACAGTCAGTATAAAGTACTACAGTATAAATACTGTCAGTATAAATACTGTCAGTATAAAGTACTGCAGTATAAATACTGTCAGTATAAATACTGTCAGTATAAAGTACTACAGTACAGATACAGTCAGTATAAAGTACTACAGTATAAATACTGTCAGTATAAAGTACTACAGTACAGATACAATCAGTATAAAGTACTACAGTATAAATACTGTCAGTATAAAGTACTACAGTACAGATACAGTCAGTATAAAGTACTACAGTATAAATACTGTCAGTATAAAGTACTACAGTACAGATACAGTCAGTATAAATACTGTCAGTATAAAGTACTACAGTATAAATACTGTCAGTATAAATACAGTCAGTATAAAGTACTACAGTACAGATACAGTCAGTATAAAGTACTACAGTATAAATACTGTCAGTATAAAGTACTACAGTACAGATACAGTCAGTATAAAGTACTACAGTATAAATACTGTCAGTATAAAGTACTACAGTACAGATACAATCAGTATAAAGTACTACAGTATAAATACTGTCAGTATAAAGTACTACAGTACAGATACAGTCAGTATAAAGTACTACAGTATAAATACTGTCAGTATAAAGTACTACAGTACAGATACAGTCAGTATAAATACTGTCAGTATAAAGTACTACAGTATAAATACTGTCAGTATAAATACAGTCAGTATAAAGTACTACAGTATAAATACTGTCAGTATAAATACAGTCAGTATAAAGTACTACAGTATAAATACAGTCAGTATAAATACAGTCAGTATAAAGTACTACAGTACAGATACAGTCAGTATAAAGTACTACAGTATAAATACTGTCAGTATAAAGTACTACAGTACAGATACTGTCAGTATAAAGTACTACAGTACAGATACAGTCAGTATAAAGTACTACAGTATAAATACTGTCAGTATAAAGTACTACAGTACAGATACAGTCAGTATAAAGTACTACAGTACAGATACAGTCAGTATAAAGTACTACAGTATAAATACTGTCAGTATAAAGTACTACAGTACAGATACAGTCAGTATAAAGTACTACAGTACAGATACAGTCAGTATAAATACTGTCAGTATAAAGTACTACAGTACAGATACAGTCAGTATAAAGTACTACAGTATAAATACAGTCAGTATAAAGTACTACAGTATAAATACAGTATAAATACTGTCAGTATAAATACAGTCAGTATAAAGTACTGCAGTACAGATACAGTCAGTATAAAGTACTGCAGTACAGATACAGTCAGTATAAAGTACTACAGTATAAATACTGTCAGTATAAAGTACTACAGTATAAATACTGTCAGTATAAAGTACTACAGTATAAAGTACTACAGTATAAATACTGTCAGTATAAAGTACTGCAGTACAGATACAGTCAGTATAAAGTACTACAGTACAGATACAGTCAGTATAAAGTACTACAGTATAAATACTGTCAGTATAAAGTACTACAGTATAAATACTGTCAGTATAAAGTACTACAGTATAAAGTACTACAGTATAAATACTGTCAGTATAAAGTACTGCAGTACAGATACAGTCAGTATAAAGTACTGCAGTACAGATACAGTCAGTATAAAGTACTGCAGTACAAACAGCAGCTCACCTGTGTTGAAGATATGAAGTCGAGATCGTCGAAGCTGTGGACTTCGAAGCAGTTCTTTGTCAGAGGATCAGTTTTAAACTCCGCAGACCTGAAGGAGCAGAACAGAAACCTGTTATCGGTGTCAGCGCCCCCTGCACCTGCAGTACAGATACAGTATAAAGTACTGCAGTACAGATACAGTATAAAGTACTGCAGTACAGATACAGTCAGTATAAAGTACTACAGTACAGATACAGTCAGTATAAAAGTACTGCAGTACAGATACAGTCAGTATAAAGTACTACAGTACAGATACAGTCAGTATAAAGTACTGCAGTACAGATACAGTCAGTATAAAGTACTGCAGTACAGATACAGTCAGTATAAAGTACTACAGTACAGATACAGTCAGTATAAAGTACTGCAGTACAGATACAGTCAGTATAAAGTACTGCAGTACAGATACAGTCAGTATAAAGTACTACAGTACAGATACAGTCAGTATAAAGTACAGATACAGTCAGTATAAAGTACTGCAGTACAGATACAGTCAGTATAAAGTACTACAGTACAGATACAGTCAGTATAAAGTACTGCAGTACAGATACAGTCAGTATAAAGTACTACAGTACAGATACAGTCAGTATAAAGTACAGATACAGTCAGTATAAAGTACTGTGGACCCTGTGAATCTGGTCTCGGACAGACCAGGCTGTGGTCCCTGTGAATCTGGTCTCGGACAGACCAGGCTGTGGACCCTGTGAATCTGGTCTCGGACAGACCAGGCTGTGGTCCCTGTGAATCTGGTCTCGGGCAGACCAGGCTGTGGACCCTGTGAATCTGGTCTCAGACAGACCAGGCTGTGGTCCCTGTGAATCTGGTCTCGGGCAGACCAGGCTGTGGTCCCTGTGAATCTGGTCTCGGTCTCAGACAGACCAGGCTGTGGACCCTGTGAATCTGGTCTCAGACAGACCAGGCTGTGGTCCCTGTGAATCTGGTCTCGGACAGACCAGGCTGTGGTCCCTGTGAATCTGGTCTCGGTCTCAGACAGACCAGGCTGTGGACCCTGTGAATCTGGTCTCAGACAGACCAGGCTGTGGACCCTGTGAATCTGGTCTCAGACAGACCAGGCTCTGGACCCTGTGAATCTGGTCTCAGTCAGACCAGGCTGTGGACCCTGTGAATCTGGTCTCAGACAGACCAGGCTGTGGACCCTGTGAATCTGGTCTCGGACAGACCAGGCTGTGGGCCCTGTGAATCTGGTCTCGGTGGTTATATTTACCACAGCAGTTCGCTGGAGGAGTGGTGGGAGGTGCATCTCTTCTCGTATCTCTTGCGTCCTGCGTCCTCCACGTCCAGGTTCACCTCGTCCCATTTGTCCAGAGGAGAAGACAGACTGACTGTGAAGAGCAACAACAACAGGATGCTTCAGATCTGACGAACTGAACAACAAGAGTAGAAACTGTCCGAGAGTGAAACAGGAAGTCTCATCACAAGTCGGTTTCTACTCACAACTGAGTGACTTCACAGCTGTTAGCGAAATGAACCTGAAGAGAAGCAGCTAAAAACAAACAGCAGCTGACCTGGAGTCGGTTACCGTGGTGATGACGATGTTTACAACACACAGAAAAACCCTTGTGGTGCACCATGAATGCTGGCGGCTGTTAATAGTGAATGTGACGTAGTGTAAAAACGCTTTGAGAGGTCGAAAAGACTAGAAAGGCGCTCTACAAATACGGAGCATTTACATTTACATGGACAGCGTCGATACTGACTTTGGAGTTCCTCAGGGTTCTACTCTGGGTCCTTTATATTTAAAGCTGCATTTTGTTTTATTTGTTGACGGGGTGCGCCGGAACGATCTGTAAACTCCACACCTGACTTGTACTGAACCCGAATCTGTTCATTATCAGTACCTGAGTCCAGTGAGATCCGCTCAGGTGTTCTGGGACTGGCAGGCAGGTGTTCCACCTCCACCTGGATCAGCTCCGTCTCGTCAGGTCTCGTCCGGCATCGAGGGCTCCTCGGGCTGCCCTTCCTCCTCAGAGGGCTCCTCCTCTGGGGGCTCCTCCTCTGGTCCTTGTTGCTGCTGCTGCCCCCGACACTGCTGCTCCCGCTACTACCGCCGTTACTGCCCGTGCTGCTCTCCCCCGGCTCGCTGAGGTCCACCAGGTCCAGAGCTGTGGACAGAACTGCAGGACAACAGGATGGAGGCTTAATATTCAGTCTAACAGCTCTGTTTTAGAGGACAAACTGGTGCTGAGAGCGTTTCCAAGATATCCTGATACTTTAAGTCTGACTTTATTTAGCCTGAAGCAGAAAGTCCAGATTTCTCAATTTCAGAAAAGCAGACTTTAATTTTGGGGATTACGTGGGATTAAATTTCAATTCAGTGTATTTGCTTATATGACAACAGCTCTGTAACCGGAGGAGCTAGAGTTTGTTTTCATCAGCTGTCCCTGGCCAGTAGTTAAAAAGGCAACCTAAAAGACAAAAAGCAACGTCCTCAGAACAAATAGTCAGACAGGTAACAATTAGTAAGAAACAAGTCACTGGATAAAGCACGGCAAGAAAAGACAAACTGAAGGCAGGCGGCTCACATCAACGAGCTCTTCTTCACGTGGGAATGAATTAAACACTTAATCACTGTTGACGACCTAAACAAACACCTGCCAGTTAACACAGGGTTCGATTGTTTTAATCGATCTACATCCCACATGTTCTATTATCACATATGGCAGCAATGTTCATCTGTCCACATACTTTTGGCCATATAGTGCTCTTCTTCTTTAAATACTGATCACACTTGAGGAGGCCATAACTTCCTGTTTGACTGTGCATGGACTGGACTTTTTTATTTGACCTCTGTAATCAGTAACTGAATATTAAGCTGGTTTTTTTCTGTGCATTCCTCGTCTGAGCGAGCGACCTCTGAAAGTCCTTATCAAACTGTGAAACAGGATCCCACAGTTTGATCTGGACCAGATGAAATTTCAGCCGCCGTCTCCTCCTCTGCTCTTCAGATTGTTTTAATGAAAACACAGAAACACACAAACAGCGCCGGACGTCTGTTTAAGCTAATGAGCGAGAGGAGGAGGACGGAGCAGACAGGAGGAGCGGCTGGGTCAGAGGTGTTAATTAATGACCGGTGGACCTGCTGAGTCGGAGGTGACAGATGGGCACAGAGGAGGAGGAGGAGGAGGAGGAGGACGGCCAAGGACACAAAGTTAGAGGTTTGGGAGGAAGCCGAGAAAGAGCCCTCTGTCAGAGGAGGAGGAGGAGGAGGACGAGGAGAGGGAGAGGAAGAGGACGAAGAGAGGGAGAGGAAGAGGAGGACGAGGAAGAGCCCTCTGTCAGAGGAGAGGAGGAGGAGGAGGACGAGGAAGAGCCCTCTGTCAGAGGAGGAGGAGGAGGAGGAGGAGGAGGACGAGGAGAGGGAGAGGAAGAGGACGAAGAGAGGGAGAGGAAGAGGAGGACGAGGAAGAGCCCTCTGTCAGAGGAGGAGGAGGAGGAGGAGGAAGAGCCCTCTGTCAGAGGAGGAGGAGGAGGACGAGGAAGAGGAGGACGAGGAAGAGCCCTCTGTCAGAGGAGGAGGAGGAGGAGGAGGACGAGGAGGAGGAGGAGGAGGAGGACGAGGAGGAGGAGGAGGAGGAGGACGAGGAAGAGGAGGACGAGAAAGAGCCCTCTGTCAGAGGAGGAGGAGGAGGATGAGGAGGAGGAGAGGGAGATGTGGCAGAATCGCAGAGGAAACAAAGACAGACGTGCGGCTGTTGTTCTAGAGGAACGAAGGAGAGAATGGACTGAAAGTAAAAGCCCCGGAGGGAAGATGACCCTCAGCTCTTACTCTTATTTTTAGCCACATTAGCAGCTACAGGTGCTAACATCCTTTTCAGAATCATAAAGAGAGATTTAAGTGCAACTCCCCTCAAAGTGCAATCAAATAGAGATACTACGGTAAAAAGAACACGTCCTGGTAGAAAGTGGCAGCAGGACATCGGCCCTCCTGTTCGCTCCAGACGGAAACAGCAGCTTTTGGATGGATGGTGATGAAATGTGCTTCACACCTTCATGTTCCCCCGACACGCTGTGAGGGCGCGGCTGCCGTGACGCCGCCCGTTGGTTTGTGCACTGCTGTCAGAGACGCGCCACTCAGTCACATCCTCAGTACAACTCTATGGGGAAAGCCCGTAACGGTAAAGATGGCGTTGATCCCGCCCCTCTCGCTAGAAAGCCAATCGTCTGCTTTAAACAGCCAGAGCGGGAAACATATTTCAGCCAATCGTGTGGTTCCACCGACATAAAGGTCCGTATTACTTCTACTGCGCATGAGCGCGGGAGTGGTGACGCAGAAGTGTAAAAACAGAATCCCTTATAGCTCTGCAGTTTTATAAGCAGCCTGGACTGAACGCAGCAGCTGATACAACATTCGTAATAACAACGAGAGACTTGAGACTTGACTTGGACTCTAGCTCAGAGACTTGAGACTTGACCTGGACTCTAGCTCAGAGACTTGAGACTTGACTTGGACTCTAGCTCAGAGACTTGAGACTTGACTTGGACTCTAGCTCAGAGACTTGAGACTTGACTTGGACTCTAGCTCAGAGACTTCAGACTTGACCTGGACTCTTGCTCAGAGACTTCAGACTTGACCTGAACTCTAGCTCAGAGACTTGAGACTTGACCTGGACTCTAGCTCAGAGACTTGAGACTTGACCTGGACTCTAGCTCAGAGACTTGAGACTTGACCTGGACTCTAGGTCAGAGACTTGAGACTTGACTTGGACTCTAGCTCAGAGACTTGAGACTTGACCTGAACTCTAGCTCAGAGACTTGAGACTTGACTTGGACTCTAGCTCAGAGACTTGAGACTTGACTTGGACTTTAGCTCAGAGACTTGAGACTTGACCTGAACTCTAGCTCAGAGACTTGACTTGGACTCTAGCTCAGAGACTTGACTTGGACTCTAGCTCAGAGACTTGAGACTTGACCTGAACTCTAGCTCAGAGACTTGAGACTTGACTTGGACTCTAGCTCAGAGACTTGAGACTTGACCTGAACTCTAGCTCAGAGACTTGAGACTTGACTTGGACTCTAGCTCAGAGACTTGAGACATGACCTGAACTCTAGCTCAGAGACTTGACTTGGACTCTAGCTCAGAGACTTGACTTGGACTCTAGCTCAGAGACTTGACTTGGACTCTAGCTCAGAGACTTGAGACTTGACCTGAACTCTAGCTCAGAGACTTGAGACTTGACTTGGACTCTAGCTCAGAGACTTGAGACTTGACCTGAACTCTAGCTCAGAGACTTGAGACTTGACTTGGACTCTAGCTCAGAGACTTGAGACTTGACTTGGACTTTAGCTCAGAGACTTGAGACTTGACCTGAACTCTAGCTCAGAGACTTGACTTGGACTCTAGCTCAGAGACTTGACTTGGACTCTAGCTCAGAGACTTGAGACTTGACCTGAACTCTAGCTCAGAGACTTGAGACTTGACTTGGACTCTAGCTCAGAGACTTGAGACTTGACCTGAACTCTAGCTCAGAGACTTGAGACTTGACTTGGACTCTTGCTCAGAGACTTGAGACTTGACTTGGACTCTAGCTCAGAGACTTGAGACTTGACCTGAACTCTAGCTCAGAGACTTGACTTGGACTCTAGCTCAGAGACTTGACTTGGACTCTAGCTCAGAGACTTGAGACTTGACCTGAACTCTAGCTCAGAGACTTGAGACTTGACTTGGACTCTAGCTCAGAGACTTGAGACTTGACCTGAACTCTAGCTCAGAGACTTGAGACTTGACTTGGACTCTAGCTCAGAGACTTGAGACTTGACTTGGACTCTAGCTCAGAGACTTGAGACTTGACCTGGACTCTAGCTCAGAGACTTGAGACTTGACTTGGACTCTAGCTCAGAGACCTGAGACTTGACCTGGACTCTAGCTCAGAGACTTGACCTGAACTCTAGCTCAGAGACTTGTGAGCATCTTTGGGAGGAACTGCAATAACTTTGGTAATCCTGACTTTTCCTCTAGCGCCATCATCAGGTCATCATGTTTATGTCATGGTACCTTGAGCTAAATGCTAACACTGACTTCATGCCGCGCTGCGCAGCGCTGACTTAACGTGATGCATGCTGGACTTAAAATAAGTCATGCTGTTTAGAAATTGTGTCCGACTTTCACCTGCGCTGCAAAACGTCACCATGTCACATGACACTGAAACAAGGCGGCTGCAGTTGCTTTTCTTCAGCTGCACAAAGTTGGAACCACCTTTTGACTGATCTCAGCTCACAGTAAGCTCGTTCAGGTAAAATGTGTCCGAATTGACGGCGCCCGCCCTTGCAGTCGCCTGCAGCTCACGTTTAACTATCAAGTCGGCCGCAGTCATCTCGAACGCACCTAATGCTAACATGCTGATGTTTAGCAGGTATAACGTGTTTCTCATTTTAGTTTAGCGTGTTAGCATGCTAATGTTAGCTAATTAGCAGTAAACGCAGCGTACAGCTGAGGCTGATGGGAATGTCATCAGTTCTGCAGGTATTGGTCATAAACCAGTGTTAACATGTTACATCACATTTATTCATTTAGCTGGAGCTTTTATCCAAATGTCACACGCCTCTGAAGCCACTCGAGGGTGGACGGGTCACAGTGGGGAATTGAACCCGGGTGTCTCATCCACTGCACCATCACCAACCCATGTGGACCTGATGATGGCGCAAGAGGAAAGTTCCTGAGGGAACATGAAGGTCTGAGCCACATTTCATCACAATCCATCCAACAGCTGCGGATGTTTCAGTCTGATGTAGAGTCACGCTGCTACTGCGGCTAAAATATAACACCTAACAAATATCTTGATGCTCCTGCTCTCCTCTCCTTCTGTCTGCTAAAATTAGAAGTAAACTAAAGCATCAACCAGACACCACCAATCCCAGTGAGCAGCTCTCCACCCAGCCGGCTTCTTCAGCCTCCTCGCAGGACAAACATTAATGCTGTGAACAGGCGGTGACGGTGTTGCCCGCCGCGCTGCCTGTCAGAGAGGATTTATTGGTCCACCACCTGAGAGGACGGAGGGTGGGGCAGCGAGGAGGAGGACGGGTGGAGACAGAGATCAGAGCGGGACGAAGAGGAGGTGCTGATGAGCTGCAGAGGATCCCTGCTGAGCGGTGGAGGAGGGGTGGAGACAGAGGGGGGGCGAGGAGGTGATAATTAGTGGAGTCTACCTGCTGTGTTGGAGGTGAGGGGTCGAGAGGAGGAGGCTTCGCTGCGGCTCTCTGACAGGAAGTCATCGATGGAAGGACTCAGCAGGGGTCGACTCTCCTGCTGCTCCCGGACCAGCTGGAGACCAGAAACCAGAGTTAGAGACCCGACAGCAGAATGTGACGGACAGCTTTATATCTGCGTCTCTACACGCCGCAAAGACTAGAGCAGTGTTCACAGCCCTGTGGGAGGTTTCCGCTTCACCTCCACATTAGCAGTTATCATTACTGATCATCTGAAGTAGGAATGTTGCCACAGAGTCTGAGCTACAGCTCGAGGCCGGTATATCTGTTCTCACTTAGTCAAACTGCCCCTTTAAAAGAAGCTGAATCAGCTGTTAGCATGTTAACATGCAGGTTCTGCAGTAATAAAATCTACATACTGTAAATCTATAAAGAGGGTGAACTCTCTTTATAGATACTTCAGTCCATCTGTGCTGCTGGCTAAAGGATGCTGTAAACAGAAGGAAGACTGCAAAGAAAGCACAGAAACGTCAGTGTGGAACAAGCAAAGCTGCTCCAGATAATGAGATGTTTCTAAATGAGGCCCGAACACGATCAGATCCTCCGCAGGTTTGGAGCTTCTCATGTATTTTTAAAGCGTAAAGAATCATTTAGTGTTTGTGTGGAGCCTGGAAACCTTTTCAGAGAGCAGCATTCACTCATACAAATTTAATTCTTAAATCCATTCATGAACACAGCTGCTGTCGATTTCACCGTTACAATCTCTTTAAATGTTTAATTCATCAGAGCGGCTGCTGACAGAAGCAAACAGGAGGAAGAGATGCGGGCTGGAAACAGCCTGAGAAGCACTTTGTTTGGGTCGGCGTCTGAAACCTCACGTGGAACCTTATCACAGGCATGAAATATGAAACAGAGAAGACTTTTATCTTCACGGTCTACGACTTCATTCAGACACGACAGCACATTTACAGACTCGCACAACATCACGAGGACGTGGTGTCACTGCCAGAAAGTTCACCGATACGAAGTGAAAAGAAGGTTTTCTGTTTCCTCTCTGGCTGCTGATGGATTTTACTTTGCTGCTGTCTAAATTATTGACCACTGTGAGCACAAAGCAGCTCGCCTCCTCGTCTGGGTCATCAGTTACGTTTATTAGAGAGCGAATTCTGCTGCCTGTAACTCCAACAAAGCGGCTCTGTCAGAGCTTCACAGTTTAATACAGAGATAAGACTTTCTTTGTGCAGAAGAGATGGTACATGTAATCTCTCCCTGCGTATTAAACGCGTTCGACCTTCACGTCATCAGGCGCTTATTCACACACGAGGCCGACAGAGAGTTCTGGTAAAAGGTGTGAACGGGAACGTCGTGCCCACTAACGCACCTTCTTCACACAACAAACACCAGCAAGTCTTCCAGCAGAGACGGCCTGAAAATACGCTCAGGTGTCGTCGTATGATTCATGATGTGGAGATCAGGCAGCGGGACGCAGGCGAGGACGAGGTCGCCGAGCAGCAGACTGAAGCCTGCAGGAATGTTTCCACACTATTTATCTCCCACAATGTCAGAAAGTCCTTTTAAGGCAAACAAAAGGCTACAGTAGCTCTCCTGGGGTTATTGGAAGGCATTCTGGGAAACGTAGTACGACCTTTAATTCACTGGTTGAGGCCAGATCTGCGTGTGCGCCTCCCTAATCCTAATCCACACAGCCGTGTACGTCCACATGTCAACTGCAATATGCTGCTGTTTAATCCTGTGAAAGGCCAGTGAAGAACATCCAGGCTGCAAACGCGATCAGATCTCAATCATGCTTCACACAAACAACCAGAAAACACGTGTGTGTGTGTGTGTGTGTGTGTGTGTGTGTGTGTGTGTGTGTGTGTGTGTTCACTTCCACGGGCTCCACATGACTTCGGCGGCAAGGTCAGATCATAACTGAACAGATTAACAGATAAAGTATATCTTCTTCTTCACGGGACACCAGATCATTTAAAACGTACACATCAGCAGACAGAATCAGTATATGGAGACAGAAATGTTGAGCACAAACAGAATGTGTTATTAAATAATAAGAATCACACGGCTCGCTCACGCTCCACGTCCTGCCCCGCTGTGACTCACTCAGGTCAGAGGTCAGTCCCACCAGCTCCACATCCAGCCGCTCAGGTGGACGAAACAAACAGCCACGTTTTCCTGTCAACTTTTCTGAACTTTCAAAAGCGAGTCTGCGCCTTTAAAAAATAACAAGCCGTCCTGACAGAGCTGAGCTCTGATTGGAGGGAAACCCAGAGGACGCTATCGTAGCTTGTTAGCTGCATCTCCCCGCCCAGGTTCACCGACGCTCCTCTGAGACCTGGTTTACTCAGTCAGGAGGTCATCGGGCTGTGATCCACCGTGAAGACGTAGCGTCCTGTTAGCGACTGAGCTAACGGACGAGCCAGAAAAACTATTTCTAACATCTAGCAAATAGCAAATTAGGATTCAATTATCCAAGGGAGCTTAAAATCAAGAGCAACTGGACTTGGATGAAGATACTCGGAGACCGGCAGGGATTCTCAGCTGTTTAACAGCTGTGGGATCGTTGTCACGGTGATCGATGCAGCTGGTTCATTAGTGCTGACCGCTGTAACGACTAGAGATGAAGCGATTACCGGTTTAACGATAAACCACGGTTATTATTACCGTACACATGATAACCGGGTTCGGATACCAAGCGACAATAAACTCACGACAAAAAACGGCATCAACTGAAGTTAGCGACAGCCTCCCAGAAGCAGGCGCACATGAACTCTGAAGTCTGGTCGTGTTTTAGTTTTTATGAGCGCTGAGGGAAACCTCAGCCCTAAAGACTCTTCTGAGCATGGGGTCACTGCATTACTTATATAATCTAAAATAGCATAAAATCTTTAATGATAACGCACACTTAGATGGTTTTCATGTTTACATCATAAAGCTGAACGATTAATCGTTTTTAAATCAAAATTGCGATTTCAAAGAAAGCGATTAGCTAATTGTGAGGATGGCGATTAAAATGTACGTAAATTATGCAAAGCATGTGACCCGTTTCAAACAGTCGATTGATACAGATTGATTCCGTTGTCATCCTTGTGCGACAGATCTGCTCAATCAACGACTCAATCATTCGAACAGACTCTGGCAGCAGCCGCGGTTTTGCGTCAGCTCACAGTGTTTAGCTGCTCTACGTTGGTAACGTGTTGTTAATTTGTCACTTTGTGCGCTTCAACTAAAGATAACAGCTCACGGTGAGTCTGTTTCGTCCCGCTCGGTGCAGGCTACATATCACACATGGAGCATTTCAGAATAAGAGCGTTTAACCTGCATAATGTTGCTGACTAGGTCAGATGTTGTTCATTTGTTTAGCTGTCCTTGATTTTTGTGCTTCTATCGTGCTTAGCTAGGCTGCGTAGTTTAATTGTTTCTTTTTATGTCTGTTTTGTTTATATACGATCAGGAGTCTGCACATGGGGTCTTATTTTGAAAATCAACCGGATCCTCTATGCCGTTCTGTGTCTGACTTCCTGCCCGCTTCACCTGCTCTGTGCTGCTTGATGTTGCAGTAAATATTGAACTTTAGCTGTACCTTTTTTTTAAATAATCGCAAATCGAATCATTATCATGATATCTGGCAGAAAAATCGCAATTAGATTTTTTCCCCGAATCGTTCAGCCCTATTAAATCAAATACTGGCTGTTACAAAAGGAGACCTATTCTGCTTTTACACATTTTATGACTTATCTACAATGTTATAATGTTAAACATGGCCGGAGCTTCAAATAATGAGGTTAAAGCTTTTTAAAGAAATCCCTGTGGGCAGAAACCTCAGATTTCCTCCTGTTCTGCTCTGTTTTGAACTGCTTTTTCTACCCACGGCTCCGTAATACGACACCAGGAGCCAGAGGAGCCGCTGCTCCATACATGGTCGTGTGCTCCCATAGCAACGTCACGGCAACGCTCAGTCTGCCTGTTCTGCCCAGCAACAACAGCCTGGTAACGTGCTTCAGGTCTTGGCCAATCAGAAGACAGTGGGCTTTGAGAGGGGGGGCCTTAAAGAGACAGGAGCATCTACAGCTTGTTTCAGACAGAGGCTGAAATGAAGGCCTACATGACACAAAATTGTTTTTTGAACTTTGAATCATGCAAAGCTGCCACGCAGGAGTCACACAACTACAATATAGGACTGGAAAAGCAGAATAATAGGTCTCCTTTAAGTTATTAATTTTATTTGTGGTTTTCAATATAAAACTTGTTGACATAGTTTCAGTGTGTGTTTCAGTACATTTGAATCTTTTTCAGCACATTTTAACAACACCGTCATAATACTGATAACCGTGATGATTTTGGTCACTATAATCACTCAATAAGTGACTTTTACAACAATAAAGTTAATTTTTACACTGCATTATGTCATGTTCTCTTGATGAGGTCTCATAACTACATAACACATGTTCGGGATAATCTTTGTTTATGTGTTTTTGAAAAGCAAAAAAAAAAAAAAAAACAGAACATCTGCCGATATATCAGAATATCCTATTCTCAAATATCAAAATCGTTATCAGTCTTAAATTTCCCACAATGGTTGGACTCCACCTAAAAAAAAGAATCACCTACTACTCAGCCCTGAGTCTGCAACAGGCAGGACAACCTGTATGTTACTCTGAAAATCACTGGCTACTGCTTTTAAAGTTGAAATGCTGCGAGCTATCGGAGAATTTTATCACTTTAATCCCCTCAGAGCTTCTATCATGTGTGGTTGGACAGTCAGAGGACTCTGTTCAGAGGCCTTCCAGTGAGTGAATCACACTGAAACTGTAAAAATGAGGGGGGACATGCAGCAACTGTCATTATATTATTCATTTATTGATTATTATTTCTTAGTGTGAGTGTTTGTGTTTTGTAATGTATTTTTGGTTATTTATAGATGCATTTACTGATGCAGGTGACAAATGAAGTCTCCTTTTAGTTTGCTGCTAAATTCTGGTTTATTTCTGTTCTGTGTAAAGACACCGTCAGCCATCCTCGTTTAAAGCCCAAAGATAAAGAGTTGGTCATCATCAGCGTAGATTAAGATTAAAATTAGGGCTGCACGGTTAATCTACTCACATTTTCAATTGCGATGTCACCC